TCGTTCTTCGAAATTATTAAGCTCAAGATATATTTATCTATGTGATCTTATAAACTGATCTTCTTAAGCTGACGCGAGGTTGATACGGATCTTGTTGTCGTTGTCATTGGTTTTGATCCGTGCCAACCTCGCGTCAGCGTAAGAAGATCAGTTTATGAGATCACATAAATAAATAGATCAACTATCTGTGCCAAGGTTTATAGAAAGTCGGTTTTTCGAGTTATTAAGCTTAAGATAATTTAAAACAAAATAATGTTTTTAGAAAAAATATATAGACTCTTAGAGCGATACTCTTAAAGCTGAAAAGCTCTCCTACAAGCTGAAAAGTTTCCTGTTCATAAAAATTCTTTAGATCGCGCTTCGCTTTGCACTAGGTCTGCTATATTTTCTATAAGTGGTTTTGTTGAAATAGTAACTAATACTGATCTTCGTCACTTGTACTTTTTCTTGTTCAAAGCCTTCATCCATGTTCCATATGACCACACGTACGTCGTAGTCGCCCTAATGGGGTGAAAAGCTGTCTAGATTCTTTTTCCATTGAATCAAAGGCTGAACAACTTCGGCCTCGTATGTGCTCCATTTGACAATTCTCATTATGACAGCGATAGTTCCAGCAAAGGATAGCAAGTTTTCCTCAATGCGCATCCGTTTTCGATGCAATTGAACTTCGTTACCCATCCAAATCTACCATTTCACAATGAGATCTCCTTTCCTTGGATAATAAATATTCTACGATTACTTTACAATTTATCGATTTTAATCGTTCTGTTTTGTGTAAAATATGTTTTTAAATTCAATGTTTTTCATCAATAAGCAGACACGAGGTTGTTAATATAGAATTTATTAGAACACAATTGCTGACGTTTCGGCGGTTTCGCCTTCTTCAGAGCCTGGAAAGGTCAAATTGAGATGCGATCTACTCAGCCAAACACTTTCATAACCCTAGCAGATAAAACTTGATAAATCGATTTGTGTTCGCATAAGAAACAGCTTCATTCAAACACCTACCGTTTATTTGTCGTAAGTATTTAAGTTAGTTGGTGGATAGCCGCCGCACAGAGTAATACATGGTCGATAACTGGGTCCATGTCAGGTCATTGGATCAGCCTGAGGTATGGCGCTAGGTCACGCGTGATGACAAGACACTCCTCCTTGCGGTTCATTTTTGAATTTTTGGCATTGATCCAAAACGCTTCAAGAGTTTTTCGCGCTGATGTTTTCGATTCCTGCGTAAGGATTGTGTTCTAATAAATTCTATATTAACAACCTCGTGTCTGCTTATTGATGAAAAACATTGAATTATCAATTAATGCCGAGGTTAACAGAAAGTCGGTCATGGGAATTACTACGTGTTTTTAAATTGTACCGTCAATAAGGTCCCGTTTATTTTGCCCTTTATTTGCAACGAAATAAGTGAAGCAACAAAACTTAAGACAAGCTGGTCTAGAGAATTCGGTAAAGATGATAGAAATACCACCGGGCACACTAAGACGCCATCTAGTTCGTAGCCGCCTATATGACCTAACTATGTACCAGGAAAAACTGCATAATATGTCCTAGCGGTAGAGATGAGCGGTCTTCAATAGAGCGTGTGGGTACGAGTACGTTGTCTAACCTGGTAAACCACTCTGCGTCCGTTTAAAAGAACACCTAGTCGGTAAATTTAAAGTAAGACCAAACGCACCACTAGGCGCAGTTGGGACAAAGAAACAAAACGCAGAAGGTTTTAAACTAAAAGTCACTATTTTAGCACGCTAATCTAAAATATCAGCGAATAAAGCTTTTGAAGCGTTCCAGGTTAGTTCCAAAAATCCAAAAAATGAATCGCGAGGTGAAGTGTTTTGTGACCATGTGTGACCTCTCGCCGTACCTCAGTCTCATTCTGTGATCTAACTGAGGCGCATTCCTCGCTCATTGTAGTACTCCATGTGGCTTCTCTCCACCAGTTTACAGGAACACATACAAGGAATAAGGCGGTAGGTGTTTAAAAGTAGCTGTTTCTTATAGATATTATATTGCATATTGAATACAAATTTATGTTTTACAAGTGTTGTCTGCTAAGGCTACGAAAGTGTTTGGCCGAATAGAATGCGTGTGCTGGAGTGAAAAACTAGCTCAGAGAAAGACAAAATGTGGCCTCAATGGTGTAGTGGACAATACGTTTGTTCCCGGTATCAGAGGTTTCATGTTCAACCGCAATTCTTAGTTTTGCTAATATCTCAGCATCTTTGTGCTCGCATTTTATAAAATGAAGTCACTTCCAAATTTGAACCAACACTCCCAGTTTATATGGGAGTTTATTAGTTGAGGTGAAAACACTAGAGTCTTCAAATCGTTACCTACAAGGTGCCACTTATTTTACTCCACCATGTTGAAATTCCCTGGAACTGTTGAGAAATTTTCTTCAGCTTGAGTGGTAAAAGGCCCTTATTTCGAGCATGAAATGATTTGAGAAAGTACGATTTTCTCCAATACGATGCTATGCATTTCCAAAAGACCACGTGTAAAAATTATATATACGATTAACAAGACAGAACAGTCCGGAAGGACCGGAAGGACGAATGCCTCACTATCACGCGTGACCTGGCGCCCTATTTCAGAATGATATTTTGACCCCGGGGCGTGTCTTGCTCGCGACTCCACGTGAACTACGTGTGGGCCAGTCCCGCACGTAACATCACGGTGAGTCTGTTCAATATGGCGTCTATTTGAAAGTTTGATCTTCATTAATACTTTAACCTTCTTTTCCACCGAATAATAAAAAGTATTCTAACATAAAGTACGTCCAGGCTCTGAGGAAGGCGAAGTCGCCGAAACGTCAGCCATCGATCAATAACATCAAAAACAACGACAACGACAACGACAACGAAGATCTGTACCAACCTCGCGTCAGCTTAAGAAGATCAGTTTATAAGATCTCATAAATAAATATATCAACAGAACAGTCCGTTCTATGAACCTGTGACGTTAACATTTCCTCAAATAGTTGTGAAATTAGCGTCAATTGAACAAAAATAACCTCGGGAGTTATTTGTTGCCAAACGTACGTGACCGTTTATTGAAATCACTCTGTCATGAAAAAGAAATCGAAACAAAGTTCTTTTTGTCAACAAAATTTGAAGCTAAACTATAGAAAATAAGTTAGACTCATTTCTATATGGTTAACGATAATAGAACGATCAACTGGAAATCTGAGAAGGTCTCGCGCAATGTTTTGTATTTTTAGCGGGCTATGAAACTTCAAATCTGGCCATTATTTAACGAACCAACATCAACGCCATGTAAAAATAAACCTGGCATAGAGAAATCTAGCCTACGATATCTTGGTAAGAATCAACCGGGAAAAACTTGGAATGTGACATGGATAGCACTGATTGGTGAAACAAAGACCATTCACTTTAATATGGAGTGGATTCGAAAAGACACGATATGATCGATTCAACGTTTGTGGCAGTGATCTTTTTTTTCAGATAACCTGACAGCACATATCATAAGGTGAGCATTCCAGCAAATCTTGCACTCGATTTGTTCTTCTCAACATCATCCACGAATGTCTTCAAAGCTTTTGTGTGAGGGTTTGAGTGCAGCTGGAGGATTTCATTCGTCTAAATGTCGTTGAATTGTGGTCGAGTTGATTCTTCCTAGAATCTTGGGTTGACCATGCTAGGGAGATGTCTATATGAATTAGAAAGACTGATAAGGTTCCAGGCAAGTCCGAGTCCATCTTCCACACCGAGCCGAGTTAAAGTTTGGTTAGGTCGGCGTTTCCTCGCAATGAGTAGCATAACTACTGATCCGTGCCGTGTTTCTCAAAAAATTCCTAGGTAGACCAAATCCTATGTTAACATCAGTTTGAAACTCTTGCGTACACAAATCAATGTTAATTTTAAGAGCTAAACATAGGACACACCAAACAACACCCCACAACATACAAAGGGTCACCATTTTTATCATCTTAAGATAAACAATTGAAAACTATTCATTTAGATTTGGAATCGAAGCTTTTCACAATTTCTCGGTCATCGTTCTCTTGTTCTCCTTTATGAGTAGTAATAGAACAGCGGCTAGCGCTGCGAGTAAAACTGTGTTCAAAACTGTTAAAACGAGAAGCACGATTGCTCCAATGCTGAATAGAGAAGGGTTTGCTGAACGTGTACTAAGACAGAATATAGTAAACACATACTTTAGTAACGTTCCTTCATGCCGACGTGTTTTTCTGTATGAGTTTTGAACTCGGATCACACTCAAATTAGAAGGAGACTGAAAAAATAAAGCTCTTCCAGTGTTATTGTACTTTTGAGAACCTCTAGGTGAGTAAATGCCGTCGCAATCAGGTGAATTTTGCGAAATCAATTTGTTCAAATAGTAATCAGATTGTGGATAAATTGTCGTCCAAAAAAACGAAGTCTACCCATAGTGCGGTTGCAGCAATCGAAGGCATTGCATGAGAATATAACACTGTAGCTCGCCCCTAGTTTTGGTCTGCAGCTATCAACGACTCCTCAAGGAAAAAAAATCGTGGAGAATTCCTCTCTGATCGTAGAAGAAAGCAGTGTTTCTTCAGTCGTCGCTATAAACTGAGTGAATTTCAATGAATTTGCAATAGCATGTGATTTACTCTTGGGCCGTATTCTCATTGAAAGGAAATGGTTTAGCCGTCCATGACTAAAGGGTAATGGTACAAAACTGACCCCCATATCACCATGCCTTGATGGTGGTGGAGAGTCGAATACCAATAATAATAAAAATAATAATAAATAATGAAGATAATGAAAAATGACATAATTTCAAATTCTTTTCTTTTCCTTCTTTCCTTTTTTTTAAACACCAGCTAGTTCTCAAACAGACATACGTAGCTGAAATGAAACGCAAACGTCTCCATAATTCCCGTAAACCGAAAAATTTTACACTTGGTTAGTTGACCTTGAGAATTTTTGTTGAACATTAGACTAAAAAATGTCTTCGTTTTCTTCCTTCTGAAATTCTTTTACTTTAGAACCATGTATTACCTAGAGGGCGCATCCATTACATTTATTGGTAGCGATAATGATGTCTTAGTACGGAATATCTACCAAAGGCAATTTTGGTGAAAAAGCAGCAGATGTTGTTATATTTTTTTTACTAACGAGTGACAACACAAGCAATTGTCCAAAGAAGAAAGGTGTGCAAAGAAACTACTCTGTGTTCAGCGTGACTGAAATCTTGTTCTAGCATTTTCTCTGGTTATGGAGGTGTTTGGCTAAGTAGATTGTGTTGATCTTAACCTTTCTGGGCTCTGAGGAAGGCTAAATCCGCCGAAATATCAGCTTGCTCGTAAATAAAGAAATAAAATAGCACCTGGTGTTTGCTCGGTAAAAGAACTGCGAATTATTCGATCTTTGCTGAGGTTAATAGAAAAGCGGTTGCGAACATTGCTGCGCTGATTTATTGCAATTATTATAAAGAGTTATTACAGTACTTGACGATATAGTCAGATGAAAGATGAAAAAAAAGCTACACAAAAGAAGAAGATTTCTAAGTGCTAGAATTTTTTTTTGAAGGTATGTTTCAGAACTTCCGGATCTTACCTGAGTAGTAGTTGAATGTTCTATCCTCTGCAGTGGTGCAGCTACCGTCATATTGCCTTTTGAAAGTTCTGCAGAAGCACTGGCTGACAGCTGCGTGAGAAGCTCACTGGAAGGAGGTGGTGGAATTTTCGAAGAAGGTAATGAAATTTTCGAGTAGGGAGAAGGTGAAGCTTTTGAGGAGGTTGAAGTCGTAGGAGAAAGAGAGGTTGAAGTCGTCGGAGCAGGAGAGGGTGAAGTTGTCGAGGCAGAAGAGGTTGAAGTCGTCGGAACAGGAGAGGATGAAGTTGTCGGAGCAGGAGAGGTTGAAGTCGTCGGAGAAGGAGAATGTGAAGTTTTCGAAAAACGACGGCGTGAAGCCCTCGGCGAAGCGGAAGGCGCTTTTTTTGCAGAGGGAGGTGGAGACTTTTTTTTGGGAGTGATTGTCTTCTTATTCTTTATGAGATTTCTGTGAGGAAGCAATTGGAAGTTAGTAGGGAAACGCTTTACAAGTGTTCGCAGTTTCCATAGGTAATCCTCCCGAGAAAAATGCCTTTTTGGAAAATTGTATTTTAAACGGCTTTGCTGAGGTGATTCTCTTGGAAAAAGTGCTGCATTCATTCCAGACGAAGAAGGCTTCCTTTTAGAATACGTGTGCTTGGCAATAGTTTTGACTTCTAGATCTGAAGACTGGTGAGATAAAGCTTCACCATCGAGGTCCGCTGCTTTCTGAAATCCGAACCGTTAGTTATTTTGTTACTTACACAATGTGAACTATTAACCGAAAGTCTAAAAAAATTCCAGAATTTCAGCGGTTGTGGAGGATTTCGCATGTTACTTTTACAAAGGTGGCATATTTTCTTAATTGAGTAGAACTTACAGATACTGTGAGAGGAAGTATTTGTACGAGAATGCAGATCCGAATACATAGCCGCACTAAAAAATGGGTAATAGAATATAACTAATTTTTTGAAGTGGTAAATTTGCACACCGTTCACGCTTCGATAGAAAGCTGGGCAATCTGTGTGGCTTGTACATTGCAAGAAACGGTTTTTGTCTACCCGACTGCATCCGAGAAAAAGCATTTTGGCATCCAAAACAAATGCATTCTTCTTATACCTTTCCATTGAAAACCATTCTTAGACATCAAAAGGGTTAAACCTACATCACAATGGCCTAAAATCTGGTTTTATCTGAAATAGTACTTGCGTCTTAAAACAAACTACAGTCATGATAAGGGTCAGATATGGAGCTGAATCACTGAAGCTTACGTCAGGATTTGCCATGTAGAATCTCAAGTGTTGACTCAACAATTAAAAAGGTCACCTCACTCCGGAATTGGAGTTCGCTCGCACTTCACCTTATTTCCATATCCATAAATGTTATGCACACTTTAAGAAGACCGTGAAACATAAGACTGCTGACGTTTCGCTTAACATGCACCCAATTCGTAGGTGAAAAATCTTGATCGGGAACTCCCACCTAGTTAGCAAAGGCCAAATATCAACAAAATAGATGCCAGTTACTTGTTTGTCATCGCTAAAGGGCTGATGTAAAATTTTATGACGTTCTGGAATGACCGGAGTTTACCGTGCGACGTTCATTTTTAGTGCAAAAGGTTGAAATTTTAGGAGTCTGAGAGGTGCAAACGCGGAGAGCACGCTATTAAGTTGACATGTTTAGGAGTCCTTATATTCGCTTAGAAGAAAGGCCGGACCTCTGAGTATTTGCTCTTTCTCATCTTTGGATGTGAAACAAGAACGATAACGACTTACACAAGTCATTTGTTTATTGCACTCGGAAGGCGTGCTAGTCTTCCAGGCCCTCCAAAAATATTAGCGTCACAGAAAATAAGGAATTGACATGCAGCTGATTAGACGAAAAAGGCTGCGGTGAAGTGAATGCTTTGTCTCTAAGAGTTCTAATGATAACCGAAATAATGAGGTTTTGACCACAGCATCCGACGCACTTAAATATGCAAAAAATCTACATTTTTTTATTTTCATGAAAACATTCCTCACATTTTAATGCATAACATCCAAGTCATTCGTCTTTAAGTGATCAACGAGCCGATGAAGCGCATTGGTAATCCTCAGCTTCAAGGACATGCAAATCTCTGGTTCACCATGTGTGGATATTCTCTAGCGATTGTTGCCAAAGAATTGTTAGAAAGGCTCAGATTCGTATAAACCACAAAATGTTTTGAATAACGTAACACAAGTTATAAGTTACGTTATTATTAAGTTACACGTAGTTACTTCGCAAATCAGTACTTCACACATCAGAGAAGGCCTTTTCTTGGCTCACAGAACACCCAGAAATGAAAGTTTGTGACTTTCTATTGCAGATAAAGAATGAAATTGACTGAAAACAAGAACACCTATCTCAGAATAATCAACCCGTGCGTTATCACCAACGATGACTGGTCGGTTTCTAACACTTAACAAATGCTCGACGCCTTGGGCGTCTTCAGAGTAGGACGACATGCAGAAACAGCTAATCACACGCAATATTAAGATCAATACACTCTGCACCAATGGCTCTTTCGTGATTTTGTTNAGTTACTTCGCAAATCAGTACTTCACACATCAGAGAAGGCCTTTTCTTGGCTCACAGAACACCCAGAAATGAAAGTTTGTGACTTTCTATTGCAGATAAAGAATGAAATTGACTGAAAACAAGAACACCTATCTCAGAATAATCAACCCGTGCGTTATCACCAACGATGACTGGTCGGTTTCTAACACTTAACAAATGCTCGACGCCTTGGGCGTCTTCAGAGTAGGACGACATGCAGAAACAGCTAATCACACGCAATATTAAGATCAATACACTCTGCACCAATGGCTCTTTCGTGATTTTGTTCAATTGTCTAGAATAAAAGAGCATTGTCGAGTGAACTTACTCCATCCCAGTAGTGCTATACTCCACTGGATTCGGCTCAATGCGTCTACGAAGACCAACAACTCAGGAAGGAATGGCTGTGGGCACACTGCTCGCTCAAATATCTTTTGTGGACGCGTTCGTTGTTGATACATAGCACCTTCTACACATAAATTCTACTTTGTGACTGACTACTGAGGTGAACTGTATAGCTGTAAATGAACAACGTGGACAAATTCTTTCCAGTGGTTCACTAGCGTTTCAATTCAAACTATTACGTGCGAAGAAGAGCATTCCTTGTCTGCAAGAACTTCTATCGTCCACTGAAGTGAAAACGCACGTGATAAATCCAAATCGTTCGTTATTTGTTTAAACACATTTGTCGTTGGCCTGCCCTTCGAATTTTGAATGGGAATTTCACATCCAGTACAATCGATGTTGTCGAAAAATCTGAATGAGGCATTCACAGTGCAACCAACCTTCCATGAAGCTAACTGGAACAAAAATGAGGTCACTAGAGAGGTCTGTTGATACTAATGCTATCTTCATGATTTAGTTGATAACAAATGGCTTCCTCTATGTTAGAGAACTAACTTCTTCTTAGTTGTGTTGCAGCCGAACTTATCGCAAGCTTGAGTAATTAAATCTTTATTTGCCAAACGTTAATATAGAAGAACGCTCGTAACGAGTCTAACATTTGCACACATAGTGTAAGTATAAGCGCTGTTAATCACATGTATCGCACGCCTCCTTAATCTCCACTAATTCACCTATTTCTCCCTATCGTCTTCAAGAGTGACCCAATGGGCTCTGCTGGCTTCAGGAACTCGCTGAGCATCATCGCTTCTGCTCTTGTTCCCATGAGAAACTCTGACCACTGGGTCGACGGCCTTCCTGCTGTGAGTTTGACATCCCGTGCAATCCTGCCGCTAACGGATCTTGTTCACACAGCGCTGTCAGTAAGGATTTCATATGAAAAGCAGAATTATACTGGAAACTTGTGAAAGTGCTGGAAAGCAACGCGATATTATGCGATGCAAAGATACATAGTGCAAATGCAAGAAGTGTATCTGGATTCAGGTGTGTCGTAGTGCAATGGAGAAAGGAACTACTCAGTGGCAGTTCTTATATAGTGGAGATGGTGAGTACGGAAATTACTACCGTATTACGATCATCATGGTGGATTCAGATAAGCTCGAACTCTTTGCTCAGGACATACTTTGCGTGTGAGACGATCTTGCTTCCCATAGTGGACTCCATCAGCAGGTAATTTTTCGGTTGACTTTGTCAACGTATTCGGGAGTATTCTTTTTTTGATGAGCTTACACGAGGTTGATAATGATGTTTATTTTCGGCTAACGTTTCGACGTCTTCGTCTTCCTCAGAGCCGATGATCCGAGTCGATGGTCCTCGCTTGTTATTCGTCTCGACGTGGCAACTTCGCCTTCGTGTCGAATTAGGTCTTCTTCAGTGAGCCGTCTCCTCGAATGAGGAATCCTTACTCAGTGATGCCCTTTTATACACGATGCTGATGGTCGATATAATGGTAATGTCCGGTGATAACAACTTGTTTTTCTTCCGGACGTACATCATTGCGCACATCGTGCAGAAGTCGGTGTTGTTATCAGCTAGCACAAAGCGTAGTAATATTTCGAAGTATTCGGGAGTGTTTCACATTTCATTTCACTAGTAATGGTCTTGCCGTTGAAAAATAACTCTGGACGAGAGGTCAATGCCTTCATCACATACAAAACATTGCATAATTACAACAGTTATACCCAAATTGGAATATAAAGAAGAATCGATTAGTGTAAGTCTGCGTTGAAAAATAAAGTTAGAAATAAACACTGGTGATAACTTGACAAGTGCTACTGAACATTGTCATTGACCACTTTTAGTTCAAATCTAGCCAATTGCCATCTATTATACACTCATTCCGTATGTGCGGCAAGCCAGTCTTAATTTGTTCTCCTCAAACACGGGACTGAATGAGACATTCTTAATGTTCTATTCACGTCATTTCAATACCTAGTTCTCAGTGAGTCTGTTTTCATACAAGAACATCTGCTGCTTTCGAAATGGCACAAGCCTCTTGTTTAGATGTTCTAAATATAAGCTATCATAACTTACAATCCCATTGAATACCTGCTATTGATTTTCGTGCGCTGTCACAAGGGTACTGACGAGATGAACGTGTGCTATCAAGTCGAGTCTAGCTGATGAACACGTCTACGTGTTATGACGTAAATCCTATAACGAAATATTTGATCAGTCGTGCTGGCATTCCGAATCAATATCGTCGGTGAAGCGGCGGAAGAACTTCCACATTTCCATGAAGTCAATCATGAAGGTGGGCTGATTTGAAGAAGTTGCGCTTTACTTTGTTTCACTTTACTTCACTTTACTTTGCTTTACTTCAAGAAGCTGTTTCCCTGATCGATGGCGTATCATTACATTACTCTTATTTGTGTATGCGATTGTAGTCTTAATTCATCCGGTAAAGCGAATGATTAGGAATGGGAATTGGGATCTAGACGACTTCAACCTATTCTTAAACTTTCAATAGGTATGTTGTCTCGGTTCCGTCTCGACAAGTCACTCCGTCTCTCATTGATAAAAGGATTTATTATTTATAAAAAATTTTTCTTATCTATGGCTGTTTGCAGAGACCTACAACACTGTCGAACGCTTAGGATTTTTTTTTTCTTATTATTCCTTTGTTACCACTTTGATGGTTGCTCCACCGACTGTCAATATTTCTTTTCCAAGATTCGGGTTTGGTAGAGGACGTGGACAATGATAACGTCAACTTACTTGCTGTACACACTTAAATCTCAACTTTAATAGGAACCCGCCACTTGTTTTTCCTTTCAAAGCTCATCTATGGAAGTAGTTGCGAGCGTTTGTGTGACAAGTGCAGTGTCATGTTCTGATTATGTTGAATTGTTAGTCAAGTGTGATTTTCTAGCACGTCTAGGTAATTGCATCAAGAGTCCTCACCACGAGAAATCGTGGGACCTTTTGCATCGAAGTGATGTTTATTGCCTTTTCATGAGGTTTCCTCCAAAATGGCAATGATTTTTGCGATTAGTAGACCAACCGATTTAAAAGGTTATAAACGCTGATAACGGCATGAGCAAAAATTGAACTATGAAGGAAAAATTCTTGAGGAAAAAAACAAATCGGTCATATTAGCACCAAAATAACGGTTCCTAGCAAATTGCTCCGGAATCTGCATGGATTTTTACGGAGGTTTCAGTGAAATATGAAATATAAATATGAAAGGTTGTCTTGCATTCCTCATCAGTTACTGAAATCAGAGAGTAGAAGTGTAACTATTGCTTATGCAAGCTACCGATCTGTTAAATGTCGTTTGGCATACATGCGTTATCCCTATCAGCTGTCACCTGTCACCTAGTCGAGTGATTCTTGTCGCCTGCAGGAGTAACCCATAGCGCTCAGATCTCTCCATGGAACAGTTGATCTTCATATCTTTATTCAAGGGCTTTTTTGAACAACTATAGTCGGCAGTCTTCCTCTTGTGCGTTTCACTTCTCTAGGAGTCTAGTTCATAACGGCTCATGTCCGTCGGTTGTCGTTCTCATGCATGCATTCCGCGGGTCTCGCCGACCTTATCTCCGACAAATTAGGGTGTAGAATGGGGTCTTTGATTTTCCGTGCTTAGTGAGGGTCCGGCCTTCGGATTGCAGCCTCTCTCATTTGTATAAAACGAAATACTTTTAGCATCATCCTTCCAACTACGCTTTATACCATAGCTTCTACCCTGCTTACGTAACAACTATGTTTCCGATGAACACCTTAAATCAGGTGGAATTGTGGCGTCGAAAAGATGAGCACAGGGTTGGGTGTTCCTTGTTCTTTTCGCTATATCCTTGATGCTCATGAAAGTTCCGCAAGCTGCTTGTTTTTTCCTACTCATCCCTGGTGCTATATCGCTCATTATATCGATTTCTCGACGTAGATAGACGTAGGTGGATCGTTCAGGAATACTCATTGCGTTGAGTGCAAATATGGCATGCGAACCCAACCCGCTCTTCATGAAGATCGTTTTTGTGACATTTAGTCGAAGACCAATCTTTCCAAATGTGTTATCAAAGTTGGTAGGCATTCCTTCTGGCTGGCTAATGCCTGAAGTTGTAAGAAAGATGTCACTAGCAAGGCCGCAACGTTGTCATTGCAGACCATCGATTTCCACTCCTGTGTTGTCCTATTCCAGGATTATCGCGTTACCTAACCTTTCTTTTGACGTTGATGCTAATGTCTTCTAGAACGGAAGTAATTTGGTTGTGATCTACCTACACAACTGGTGAGGAATCTTTAATTAAGGGGTCGATGCAATGGATTTACAGAGCTTTCATGACTGCTCTTGTCTCCATTGAGTCCCGTCGACGTTATCAAGAATAGCATCATCTCAATAGCCGGCTATGAGTCGAATAAATTCTAGTTCATGGTTGTTTTTGGGTTTCGTCTTCTAAATTTAGCGACTACTGCCACATTCTGCGATAGATGAAATCATGTTCAGTGTGATGGTCTGATGTGGCGCAGAATTTTGGGATAACAGCGACATCGGTTAGGGAAAACCTTCAATTTACTATTATGTCGTCTATTTAGTTATGGTTCTCTTCGTCGAAAGACGTCCACAGCCAGCATTGAGAGTGGAGCTTTTGGAACCGCGAGCTACCATGGATGGTGTTGGTCGCCATTATGAACTCGGACAGCCGCTCACCCAGCTCGTTTCATTCTAATCCGTGGGTCCCAACGCGACGTCTGCTATTGCGTGATCCGAGGAACAGTTCTGCTCTTGTGTCAAAGACGGCGTTGAATGGATGGTGTCTTTTCGTTACAGCCCATTATACTCTTTCTTACCTGCATGATCATGTTTTGTATAGAGGACTCAAATGAAAGTGTTCGTGCATTGTAGGTACAGATCGTCACTTTAGCCCTTTGCGATTAAAGTGGGCTAGAATGGTTTATCAGCTCGTCCTACCCAACGCTGCCATATCAGGGGCACTTTCGGAGTAAAAGAATTAGACACTCTTACCATTCTGCGCTTGCAATTTAATACCCACTACTCATAACTTGCTGTACTCTGAACTTCGGGATTGGGTGTACCCACGGGTAGCTTGGCATTCTCTTCCAATCTAGATGAGGAACTTATTTGTTGTAGGCAACTCCTAACCGTTTTCTAAATACGTACTTTCGTGTCACTTTATTAGCAACTTTTAGCTGAATTGAGTCGTTGAATACAAAGTGCATAGGAAGTAAAAGCCACACACGCATGGGCGAGTTCGCCTTTGGAAGCACAGAACGAATGTGTCAAGTCGGTGCGGAAGAAGCAGGGAGCCCATCCATTAAATCCACCTGCGCCTCATGGAAGCAATGGGCGCTCTTGCTCTTGGAATTAACCCCCTATCCGCCACCTGAGCACGCGTCATGTTGCCTCTCGACCAGCCGATATAAGATCCCTCTGTGAAGAGACCGGTGGCATACATAGATACCAAAGCATAATCCTGAAAATGTTTTCGGTGTTGATCAATCCTTGGGGGATACGTCATGCATTCTACTTCACTAGGCATCTTCGGAGGTAATTGAATGCATATACAACCTCTAAAATGGCTCGCGATAACCAACCAATGTATCGAGCCAGTAGTATTATCGTTCAAGGCAAGTCTGGTACCAACTTGCCGACCCCAGAGAGATGGAAGGCTTGGTGAGCCATCGGCGCGTGGTCGACGCCGTCTGTATTCCAAAGCATCTCTAACCACTGTACTAAACAACGGCCTATACTGTGGCGCATGTGGAAATACTAAGTACTTTCCCACATTTTCATTCATAGTTCGCGCGTCAATAATTTTTATGAACGATTTCCTATTAATCTGAGCATTAACCAATAATTCGCTGTGTCCTTTCTAAGCTCACACTACGGTGTTATTACTGCTGTTCCTCAAAAGCAGCCAACGTTTCAATGGATTTTGACTTCATCGAAACCTGGCGGGCAAACCTAAATATCTCAAAAAAAAAATCACGATTCTGAATTTCAAACGCACTGGAAACAAAACGCCCTTCTTACATATTCATTCTTTTCTAAGAGCTTCTTAATGAGTTTACTCCACGTGCAGGGAACCGAATAAGGTTGACATGGGAGTGCCTTTCTCACATGAAATATCATTTTTAAATATTGCGCGATACCACTCCTGATCACAATCCACTTCTCCTTAGGGTTCACTCCTGGATTTTTGAAGTTGACCCAATAAAAGGTGAGTGTGGCCCAGTGGTCGGAGGCGCCTTGCAATACACACGGGAACGATCTCCGCTCCACCGGCCCACCAAGCTCTTTATCTTTCCGGGGTCTGCAAGTTGGTACCAGACTTGTCTGGGAGGATAGCAGCACTAGCTCGACATCGGTAGGCCACCGTGAGTCACAGTAAAGGTCAGATATGCATACAATCACCTCCAAACGATGCTTAATAAAGTCAAAAGCATGGTGCATCTCTCAGGGATCGATCAACGCTGAGAGCTTTATCCTTTTTTATCATCCAAAAGACTTCAACGGTTTCACGCACTAATGTCAATTCCTGTGCGAGAATAGTGACTTTTACTTCAAAATCTTTTCTGTTATCACAATGCATAACCTTTACAAACTACAGAAAAACCTATGAAAGTTAAAAGTTGGAGAAGCTTGTGTTTTAGAAGTTATACGTTGTGATTCCTCCCAACGGTTTACCGCCTCATCGTGGCTGGGAGGTGTTTCTGGGTGTCGGACTGCGATGTACAGCAGGGGATTCATTCCCTGATAGGGTCTCCCAAGCTGAGAAGGAGTTCGGTATTTCCATCGGAAAGCCTAGCTAAGAGTAAACCAATACCAGGATCCACCGCAAGTCGCAAGGTGGTAAATTTCACTCTGATGCACAAATACTGCGACTGCTTGTCGTGGTGAAGGCCTGGGGCAGCCATAATGGCTTATACAGCAAATCTCCGAAAAATGGAGACTATGCTGGGTTCCGCACAACCAGTGAGGACGGGCCATTCAAGTGTCAAGTATCAAGTGTACATTGTGATTTCAACTACAGCATCAGCTCAACCAGGTGCAATGCCGACTTGTGCTCTGAGATCATTCCCGTTGACGAGAGGTTGCTAATGACATGTTAGGGAAAAAACTAGTTGAGAGAAACGTAAAGCGAAGCCCTTGACGCTGCAGTGGGTAACACATGAGTCCTCGGAAACGGCAATCATGGGATCGAGTCTGGCGTGGGAGCTGAGTTTTCACATTTCTCAGCATCCTTGCGATTGCATATCGCCGTTGTACTTCTTTGTCCTGTGCGCGCCTAGTGGAGTATTTGGTTTAACTTTAGGTTTGCACAGTGGGTTTTTTTTTTATGTGGACGCATAGTGGTCTACGCGTTTCATCCAAGTATTCGTCCACAAACGCTTTTCAGAAATTCAGGCATACTGAACACGAACTCATACAATCACCATTTACAGTTTATCTTATGAACATCCTAATGTTTCTAAACAGAAACATGCTGGTTTTTTACCTCTCCTCTCTCACTTTTCACACACAGAAAGAGCTCAACCACCGTCAGTGGGCAACTAAAGGTTGCATAATTTTCCCTGATGGTAGAGGAGTGATGGCACAAATCCAAGTATTTTGTGCTTGATCTTTTGTAAAGCTTGCGTAACGAATATGTTGGGGAGGCGGATAGAGTGTTCGTAAAGAAGAACACCTAAATGGTAAGAGTAAAGTTAAACAAGGTACTGAGTTAGGAGCGCATAGGACGCAGGCACAAAACGGGAACGATTTTCAGGTGTAGGTCACCATCCTTGCGCAGTAATCATAAAATTCAGCGCGTGAAGCCCTCAAAGCATTCTCCATAATTTTAAAGAGGCCAAATATGAAAAGTAAGGAGAAATGCCTCGTTATTACACGTCATCTCAAATAATATCTCAGACTGATATTTAACGCGTGTTTGTTTCTAGTGATATTGGAATTTAAGCAGTGGCTTTTGTGCTAGAATTATGGATAATCTTGGCCGATTCGATTGCTGTTCACTCGACCCTTCCAGGCCGTTAAGAGGTGAAATCCACCGAAACGCTAAATGATGAAGCATAAAGCTCTCACCGTTGACCAATCCTTGTGGCATGCGCCCTGCATTCGACTTAATCAGCCATCGTCAGAAATGATGGAATGTATATTTCGCTTGTTTAATGACTCGCGGTGGATTAGCAATATATCAAGACAGTGTGCTTGCTGTCCAAGCGGACAGGTCTGGTACCAATTTGTCCTACCCGAAGTTACGGAAATCTTGATGAGCATGGAGCGCGAGATCGAACCTATGTGTCTTACAAAGCACTTCTGACCATTTCCCCACACACCCTCTTTCTAAAATTGTTGGTACTATTAATATATGACGTAATAGCAATCTTGGGTGTGCCTGTCAAGAACACTGCAAAGAGATCCTTGTTTATCTTTGGCGGCGACACAGCAGCAAACAAGTGGCGTGGCGTATCAGTAACACGAACTTGTTTACAAGTTTTTTTTCGGAAGCTTTCTACCACATGTGTTACCTAAGGGTGTAGAGAGCGTCAAAAAGTTTGAAACGTTTGGTGAACTAGCGGACATTTCTGAGCATTCTAACATTCAAGATTTTCGAAGACAACGGCAGAGTCAATCACGTCATGGTAAGGATCAATTTTTCGTCATAATAAAATCTTTTTTCTTAATATTCCGTAGGTAGAGGCGAATCCTTAGTAGAATTAAGTGGATAATAGGAACAACTCAAGGACGTTATACATACTAGACTAATTATGAAGAAATTGTTGTTTGGTTTGGAACTATTCATTTAGCAATGTCAACTTTTTGTTTACTGCCTTTTACAAGTTTTCACGGCAGGGTATTATTTGTGGAACAACCACAGTGATGTTGAGATATTTGCAAAACCCCGGGCTGGTGGTGTCTGCGGTGGGGAACGGACACGCTATTACCCTTTCCGGGTGCTAATGCGTTCACTACCACACCATAAGGGCCCTTCGTTTCGCCTATCTCTCAGCTAGTTCTATCGATCACTGCCATCAGCAATCACCCGTCTCTGGAATTGATCTGGAAAGCCC